AAAATATAAAATAGCAAAATAAACGAGCAAATCAAATCAAATCAAATCAAAATATAAAATAGCAAAATAAACGAGCAAATCAAATCAAATCAAATCAAAATATAAAATAGCAAAATAAACGAGCAAATCAAGTCAAAATATAAAATAAAATCTAAAGCAAAACAGTCGCACATTCCTTTTACACATTATGAAATCCGAAACATGTTTGCTTGGTGATGGAGGCTCCAGTAGTCTCCTTCCGCCAATATACATGCGTAAGAGAATTGTATTCAGAGCTGCACGTAACTCACAAAATTTAAAGGAGGCCACGGCCGCATCATTGGGAGTCTCAGCGTCCGCAGCACCAGGAGCGACTGGTCCTCCTGTTTTGCAAGAAAAAATAATTTCAGGGTCATGTCTGCCGCGCCCAGTTGGCCTTTCCAATTTGGGGAATACTTGCTTTTTAAACTCTGTACTTCAATGCCTGATGCATGTTCCAGAATTTTTTGAAATTATTAATTCCTGCTCGTGTGCTTGTGAGGACCACAAAAAGAAGACCCTGTGGTGCATTTCCTGCGAAATGCATCGCCTAGTTCAGAGGGCAATTCTCTACTCTTCCTCCCAATCAAAAATGAGAATATCACCGTCTGGTATAGTTGGAAATATTCAAAAGATTTCCAAAATATTCCGGTATGGTCGTCAAGAGGATGCCCATGAATTTCTGTGTGTATTTCTTGATGCTCTGGAGAAAAAGTTTTCTTCACTAAAATCCCTTACAGCGGGCACCTTTACTTCAAGGATTGCTTGCAAAAGTTGCGGGGCAACCTCCGACTCGAAGGAACCATTTGGCAACATCATATCGCTTCAAGTGTCTTCGACCATTGAACAATCCCTTCAAAGGTTTACTCGCTCTGAGAGATTAGATGAATTTTATAAATGCGGCACATGTTCGTCGTTGGGCACATCGACACGTAAATTGTCAATCTCCGAGCTGCCTTCGCTGCTTATGTTTCACATGAAGCGATTTGCCCCCGGATTTTCGGCCGGGAAAATAACGAAACACATCCAATTCCCAGAAATATTAGATATCTCGCCATTCGCCATTGACTCGAAAGGGCACAAATACACCCTTGCAGGTGTTATTGTGCACTCGGGGTATTCCACGTCATCGGGACATTACCATGCATGCGTCCGAAACCAAGGTCTATGGTACGAAGTTGATGATGAAGATGTCAGGCTTTTAAAAAACACAACAGTACTTTCGCAACAGGCCTATATTCTATTTTATATTCCTCAGTCAGTTTCTCCGGTTTCGCCAAAATCGGCACATACCGACGCCATCCTTAAGGAGGAGGAGGAGGAGGTTTCAGTTCTTTCAAAAGCAACTGCAACCATAAATGCACATACAGCGTCCAGGAACCAATATGATACGTCATCTACTGTAGCAAAATCGATTCCGGGTGCTGTTGCACCAGTGCCCATGCCGCAAACGATTCCCATTTCAATTTCTTCCAACTCCAAGAAATCTGTAATTGATAATATCAAAGACCTCACTTCCCAATCCACTTTGAAGAGGTCTTTTGATTATTTTTCCAAACGAGACACTGATCTCAGATCACGCCCAGTGTTAGATCACAATGACACTCCTCTGGATATCCATGATGCCGAATATGATGCGGGTCGGCTTCCAAAGAAGGGAAAAAAGAAAAGACAACTAGATAACTCTTTTGGTACAAATGTCTGCAAGGCATCATCTGGAGTGATCCGCCAAAAGCCGTCAGTTCAATTGAAAAGACATGCTCATAAATTAAGACAATCCAACAACACTTGGTGTACCAGTGCAATTATTTCAAAATAAAGTAATATTTATTTTCTAACCCTAACCCTAACCCAAGTATCAATTAATCCTCTGACATTGGAGCCTGACCCTGTTCTCGCATGCTATATCGGCTTTTCGACCGGCTTTTTTCTCCAGAATTATGAAATTCTCTCACGTCAGATATTCTTATCGCCATAAATATTGTCCCATTCAAATGCTGGATATAAGAAGCTAAATTACGTTGTATTCAAGAAGCATATCGATCATTTATTCACTTTTCAGCAAAAACCCGACGGCAAAAAACCGCTTGTATCAGGAATAATAGAACTGGTTGCAAAAATCTTCATTTTGCATATATTTTGCACCATTTGCGGCGAGAAACTCACATGCATTTGCGCCCAAGGGAATATCCTTATCTTAAGTGTTCGTTGGTGATCCCCAAGTTTGTATGCCTACCTTTTACACTGAACACACTGACCATGATGGCAGATGTGTATGCCTACTTTTACTTTTAGAGATCCAAATATCGCCTCGGAAAGGAGAAGCTGGGGCCATGAAACACAAATTAATTCTTAACTTTAAATCAGTAATTCAGCAAGCACTTTAAAATCGGTAATCGAACAGGCAGTTTAAATTTAAATTTCAATCAAACAAGCCATTCAATTGTCGGCGAATTTGGATTCCAATTGGGCCAAATGAATTTTGTGGATGAAATGCGAGAATGTAGAATCGCTAGTGCCGGTGAAAACCAAAGCGCGCGCTGCCATCAACTGGTCAAACATCGGGTACAACAAATCGATAGGAATGGGTCGAGCTGCATCTCTAGCCTTCAAACAGGCTAAAATTGATTTCCTGGTAGAATCTGTCATCAAAGCCTCAAGAGTGATAATATTTTTAAACCCCTTGGACAGTATAGCACGTTCAGCAGACCTAGAAAATTTTTTCATGTCTGTGGCTACAAAGAGCGATACATTTGAGGATATTAATTTTTTGTCCTGCAAGCCATGTGCAAATATGGAACAAGCGTCTTTTTTCACGCCTCCACGATTAAGGCATGCCTCAAGGGCAGCATAAAGACTGCCATTTCCAAAAAAAATATCCAACGAAGACTTGGCCACTAGCTTGACATAGCGAGAAAATGGAAATTTTCCTCGAAGGTGTATGGAAAAATAGACTCCATTTCCTAGAATGGGATTCGAATTTGACTCTAAAATATCGAAACAGGGAATAGTTGGGTTGGATAGCAGCTTAGAAATGACTTTTTTGTGCGAAAAAACCTCTTGAATTCTTTCTTCCCTATCCAACGCCATATCTATTCGACCTTGTCCAAAAAGCGAGCCTACATGAAGAATCGATGGAGTGTGTTGGTTTTTCAATGCACCATCATCTCTGTATCCGAAAGCTATGGAGATGGGATATTTAATATGGAGGTCCATGCTTTTCCGTATACGCATCCACACCCGAATTTTTGTAACGTTCCCTTCACATGTGCAAGTCAGGTTTCGATTTGTATCGACATCTGAAACCACATACCTAAAAGAAAAATGCTATTTTGCTACTTATAATTATATCGAGTATAGTCCTTCAAGATGTAGGATTTGAGATTCTCTGGTTGTGGAAAACGATCTTTAAAATTGGAGTAAGATATTGCCATTACGTCTTTAAAATCAGCAAGTTGTGGAAAAAACTCGGAAACTTCCAATAGCGTCCAGAAATTGTGGCTCAAATTGGAACTGAACTGTCTAAAGGCATCGGATAGAGTTGAGTTTAAACGGTCAAAAGGTTTCCATGGATAAGTAACCCTTTCGCCCAAAAAAAAGGGCGGCAGAATTAAAGTTCTGTTCAACAGACGTGCCATTAGCAATGCATTGCTGAGTTCATTAATTTGATTGGAAAATCCGGAATGTGGCAAATATTTTAAAAAATGAATGGAGGAATCATTCATGCGTGATAATGCAAATCGGGACTCGGGAACCTTGCTCGCTGGAGCAGGGAAAACATGTAGAAAAAGTGTTGCCAACAAGAGAAATATCCGGTTCATAAGAAATTATTAAAGACGCCATTATTGTGCATAAATCATCACCAAATGAAAACAATACCAAAAAGGAAAAGATAAAATATTATCCCGCTTTCGAACCCTCCTTTGCAGCGTAGACCCCGACGGCTTATAGCCATAGCAGGTAATATAATGGAATGAAGATCGCATTCCAATCCCGTAAGAAAGACAATCATTGATACATTGCCATAAACCCTCGATTGAGGTACATCCGATCAGCTTTGGGAGTAGCCGCCAAAACGAAAAGTTTTCAATTTAAACTGCAATTGGAACGACACACACCATGAAGCATCTTATGGGGGGGGGTTTATTTCCACATACATGAGGATTCTATTGTGCGTTCCGTGGTTTAAATGAAACGGTCAGAAAGGAACTTTTCTATAGCCTCGTTGAGCCATGGATTCTGGTAAAAGGCGGGATTCCGATAGTCGTAATTCTGCACGCGGACATTTTCAGAAAAAATATGCTATTGCGAAAATGGCGATGACGATGATGAGTCCCTTACCTCATTGTTGTCTGTATGTCGCCTCATGTATTCTTCCAAAAATGCGACTGGATTTTCCTTGAATGCGGCAAGATATTCTCTCCTCCTGGCCAGCCGACATGTAGTGTAATACAAATCAATGAGCTATCATATGATTATTCCAAAACACTACTTGTGAATCGAGAATTTCGATTTCCTTAATCGCAGGCGCCAAGAGAGCTCCATAATTTGATTTTGCAGCGGCAGAAGTCCTCGGATCAGGCACTTCAAACGAAAACTGTAGTTTAGTACATCCCGAGTTTCCGCTGAGAAACAGAAAAAGTAAATTCATACCTCAGGGCATGGATCATAAGAATGGGGGAGGGTATGTCCACCATGATGGTGCTGAGAAACTCTGGAAGATTTATGGGGTCACAATATGGCACGCCAAATACCTACTCAGTTAGAGGACAAAAGCAAGTCAACATCGGAAAAGACTAAAAATAGCTTTGATCATCAAAAGAGGGGTATCCAAATAAACATGCTACCTTTTCAAGATGCTCGTCAAACTTGATCACATTCGGCATGTCTGGGCTTGGAAACAAGCCCTTCATCTACAGAGACGGTCATAAACATCATCATTGATACATTGATATATCGCCATAGGGCCAATAAGACTGCAGGCCTTGTGCTTTCTGCCGGATGTGCCGTAGACGCAGAGATCGACAAAATTTGATAAAGCTCCTTGGGAATTAGATACCGCTCTGTAGCCCAATCAGGCACAATATAGACACGAACATCTGACGGAGGTGGTGAGACTTTCTTGATTTCAAACCCATCTAGGTCTGATTTGGAAAGTGGTGTTTTCTGCCATTCGATAAGACATGAATTCTGGGAAGGCTCCCCAACCTCAACGAGGATCGACTTTATCACCTCAGAGAATTTGATGTTCTTAAAATTGGGGTTTCCTGCAGGAGGTTGTACTTGATGTGCTTCTATCCTAAGGGTCCACGCCCTTTTGGGCGCTTGCAATTGTGAGGAATTTTCTAAATCTGCCGTTGCTGGCTCGGTACATATGAAATGCGAGACAGAAATATGAAAGGGAAGTATCAGCTGAAATTAGAATCGACGCTTACTTTGCTCGGCTTGAATCTCATTTCCTGGCTACGCATTTCTAAAGACGAGATTTTTGCGTCAATTTTCTTCTCTGCCAACAAGAGCGATTGATAAACAGATGCTTCGGAGGCGAACGAAGATATGCTTGGCGGAAGAGAAAGTTTTTGCGACAGCGGATAACCGCATGTGGTGCTGCGCACTTGTGGGGGGAATCCTTCTGAAAAGTATCTGGGCTCTGATCTTTTCCTCCTAATAAAACAACCCGAAAATTGTACATAGCCGGCGACTCTAGCGCTGGGTCGTGATGATTGGGACTCATAATTTACAATTTAATTGAAAATTAATGTGGCAGTATTGGGCCCATTAATTGTTGCAAATTATCTGAAATTCCAACTTTCCTTGTGTTGCGTGCACTTGGCAGTTCGGAAATATATAAGCCACTTAGCACATCAGGGCTTTTACTTTTGTACAAGAAATGTTGATAATTTTGTCAGAAGCAGACTGCCACTCCCTCTGTTCTTTGGATCCTGTCCAGCGGAAGATGATATTAGACCAACTGCAGCACCAGATATCTCAGGCAATCCCCTCCTATGATGGGTTTATCCTTCAGCGGCAAGATCTTTTTGCTTTTCTTGCGATGCTTCTTGCTGATGGCGTCGAAGTAAATAGAAAGGTACCCTTATCCCGGCCTTTTTACATTAATAGAGCGCTTTGGATTTGATATTCTTATTGTTTTCAATCTTTTCCAATTCCTTTGGTGCTGATTGTGACGCTATCAATTCTTTTTGCTACGTTCTGATGCCAATCCTCTCCACAATGGTACTTTTCGAGGACGATTATATTAGATCATCTCTTGTGAACATCTATGTCAAGCTTGCCGAGTTTCCATTGCGATCGGCAGCCCTGCTATTCATGCTTTATCGAGACCTTTCAGAGCTTGCTGTTGACCGGACCATCCCGACGAAAATTCGGCTTTCAATTATTTTTTCGCTTGGAAATATCCTGAACATGCTGCTCGAGGTGAATGCGGATCGCTTTGTTTCCACGGTGTCCCAATCCTTTTCAAAGCAAGCTTTAGACACATCACTTTCGCAAGAAACAGTGCTAGATGATACCTTGGTTTTTGATGACTTTTTAGAGCCTTCGGAAGAATCTTTTTTTGAGCAAAAGGCCTCTTCGCTTTCGATTTCTGCATCTGGCTCCGGTAGAGCAAACCATATTAGTCCGAAAAAGAAAAACTATTCTGCTGGAATGACAGGGATTTTCCTCCTCCTCTTGGAGGATCAGGAGGTAGAGGTTCGAAAAGCAACTCTTCATGTCCTCTTTTCCTTGTTTGGAATATCTACCATGGAATCAATTGATCTTATGCTCCTATCAACTACGAGCGACTTACTTTGTGACGAGTCTCCACTGATAGTTCAACTCATTCTAGATACATTGAAGGAGAAGAGAAATGTGGTACCGCTTCCCTTTCAAACTATTGCCTCCGTTTCGATACTGTTGCATGCCATTGGTCTCGCGCCAAATGCCCGGCTAATTTGCCATGACTTGCTAAGAAGATGGCGAGTGCAAGATACCGCCAGCCTTGACTCTGTGGTTACTAATCTTTTATTTTGTATTGAGAAAAAAATCGATCCCATGATTTTTATCCTGGAAACAGCTTGCCATATTGGCGATTTGAATTTCGGAATCATCAAGGAAACACCGGTCTGGACGCGGCTTTTGCAAGTGAACCCATCGTACCTCGCTGTTGAGCCATCTGTTCTTGACCCTTACTGTAAGAAATAATTTCTCAATATGAATAGACCATTTGGTTGCCCTTTTGGTTTTGAGAGCGTTTTTTTGCTCTCCCGTGTCGTTTGAACGCCTCCCTGAATTTTTGTGTCGCCATTTTCTATTTTTTAACTTGCAATATCCTTCATTAATTTCTAATGAAATTTTGCAAGAGAGAATCGAAAAACGGCCTGGTGAAAACAATGCGCTGATCTCGCAGTTCCGCCCCTCTCTGCTTGTGTTAAGACGTGTTTTGCATAGGAGCAAAAGTTGTAAAATTTAATAAACTGCTAACCCTTCAATTTTATAATTTTTTAGAGCATGGTTTTCTTTTTCCCAAGACTGCCTTCGTTATCGGCGGGATGCATCATATCTTCGAGCCAAGCAATGCTTCGGCATCGCTCTTGCAATTTTTATAGCTCTGCAAAGAAAAAAGATCCATATGACGTTCTTGGCATTCCAAAAAGCGCATCTGCTGCTGCCATTAAAAAGGCATACTTGGGTTTGGTTAAGCAATTTCACCCGGACACAAACAAAGATCCCGCAGCGAAAGAGAAATTCGTTGAAGTACAGACGGCCTATGACATTCTTTCTGATGACCAAAAAAGAGCCTCTTTTGATGCAAATGGCTATCAAGAGAACGAGGACTCGCAGCATCCTGATCCGGCCGATATTTTCAAGTCTTTTTTTGGGGCTGGACGTTCTAGCCGTCCTGGTTCAGGAAGCGCTTTCGATCCATTTGCCGATCTTTTTGGAACCCATGCCTTTCGCGGGACATCCCGAGGCGGAAAGAGAATTTCAGAGGACATCCAAATGAGAATTACTCTTACATTTCTGGAAGCGGCGCTTGGTTGCGTCAAGCCGATTACTCTCTCACGGTGGGAGCAATGTGGAACATGCTCTGGATCGGGGATAACTCCGGGAACAACTATGGCTACATGCAAAGGATGCGGAGGGCGTGGAGCGAAGGTCTTTTCTCGCGGAGGAATGGTGATCGAGGTTCCATGCGATACATGTGATGGTACCGGATCACACAATCCAAATCCATGCAAAAAGTGTTCGGGAGACGGCATCCATCGCAGTGCCTCCCCAACCCCAATAGAGGTGCGAATTCCGGCCGGCGTTGACTCTTCCACCCAGCTTGTGATGGAGGGCATGGGAAACTCCATGGGAACAGGCTCACGAGCCGGAAATCTTTTATTGCAATTTAAGGTAGGCCTTGGCCGTCATAATGGACTTTGTATTTAGGTCCAAGAAAGCCCCATTTTCAGGAGAGATGGGAATGACATTTACCAGTCGACAAAGGTCCCGCTGATGACGTCGCTCCTTGGGGGGAGCATTAGAATTCCATCGCTCAGCGGAGAAGTTGATCTTCTCATTTCACCTTGCTCCATTCAGCCTGGAGATGTAAAACGGCTGAAGGGGAAGGGAATATTTAATGAGAGCATGCGCAAACAAGGCGATATGTTTGTGACTCTTGGTGTTGAGCTGCCGGCCACGCTTAGTGCACACCAGAAATCGATTTTGCGAGATTGGGATGGCTCTGCGCCGTCTTCCGCATCGACTGCCCAGCCTTGCGGCTCATCGCCTAGCTCTGCAGCTTCAAAGCTGAAGGACTGGATACGCGAAAAAGTAGCCACCTCTGAAAAGGTGGAAGGGGAGAAGCACCATTGATTGACAACAACCCAACTCTATTTAAATGGCAAATAAAAAGTAAATTAACGTCGCCAATTTTGGAAGGCTTTGGCGGCCAATTTAACAACCCGAGATTTTCTGCAATTTATTGTGATCGTGTGGGATGCCCAATTTTGTCCAAAACTCCCGAGAGAGCCTGAAAAGCCTTTCTGATGATCTGTGGAAAAAAACAGAGAAATTGGTAGCGTACTTATTTTGACCAGTAGCCCAGCGAAGTATTTGTGCTTACATTTGGATCCTTTCTCAAGCTCTGCATTGTTGAGAGCAATGGAAACATCACCACCATCAATAAGGAGATCGAGCGCATGGGATATTCTATCGGGTGTCGCTTGGTAGATGACTTTTATGCCCGCTCACTTTTGCCTCCCTGTCGGTCGTTCAAGGACTGCATTGAGGTGATAACCAAGGTTGCTTGCAAAACATATTTTGGATGCTTCGCCTCCTCTTCAGAGTGGAACGAGAGCGAAAATTGCTGCAACATTAGTGTTGAAGAAAACCCGTGGATCGCCTACATGCTTCCAAGCCTCAACGATGGACTGCCTACGCAAAATGCGGCCCCAGACACCTCTCTGCTGAGCTTTGAAGAATTTGTCAGCCATGGGCTTCACAAGAAAATTTCATTGTCCCTCATTTGGGTCGGATTATTGAGGGGGATTTTCGAAGTGGTACCAATTAATTTGTCGATTTTTCCCTCCTAGTTGCAAATGAAGGTGCAGATCTCCATCTTGAAGGGCGATTGTCTTGAATCGCTGGCTTTGCTTCCAGGAGGCAGTCCGGTTATTCATCTTACCCTGGAGCAGTAGTTAAGATAATAAAATTTTATTAAGTACATCCATCCATCGCTGCTGCTAGAGCCCGGGGTCATTATTTCTAGAAAAAAAATCTTTTTCCATGGTGTTGCTTCCATCTTCAGAGGGAAGAAATTTTGAAACGAAATAGTTCATAAGTCCCTCTAAGCATGGGCGCCAGCCTGTCCTCTCGGCTACTCTGAGAAGATGCTGCGTGGCCTTAAGTAGGCGCTTGATATCTTCCTGTGGAAGCATGTCTTTTTTGAGTTGAGCGTCTGGATTATATGCAGATAGTATGGCTACAAAAAAAAGAAGCCCAAAAAGTAGAGGAATAAAAACTCGCTTCGCATTCATGGTGGCAGGTGGTCAGGTGAAAGATTTCAGGGAAGATGTAAAATAAAAAGCGAAACCTCTGCTGATTGGCGAACGTTTAGGCGAGTTGCAACTCACGATGTGAAACTAAAATTAATTGAATTTAAAGTGGAATTAAAGTCCTGGCAAGAATTTAAATTGGAACTAAAGTCCAGGGAAGAATTTAAACTGGAACTAAAGTCCAGGGAAGAATTTAAATTGGAACTAAAGTCCAGGGAAGAATTTAAATTGGAACTAAAGTCCAGGGAAGAATCTAAATTTATGCAATGTCATCCTCATCTGCAGAATCCATTCTCTCAAGATCACTCTCATTGGGCAGGAAGAAACCAGTTACAAGGGCGGCCATGATGGCAAAAACGGATTCAAATTCATACAAATCCGTAAAAAGCCTTATTCGAGCCATTCGAAACTGCAAGACCGCTGCCGAAGAGCGGGATTTGATTTCAAGAGAGGCGGCTGAAATTCGCATGGCATTGCAAAACACCTCTATCTCTCGCGGGAAGGAAAAGAAGAGATATCGGGCTTTGGCAAAGTTGCTTTGCATTCAATTGCTGACCGCGGCACATGGGGGTATTTCAGTTGCCTTTGGGCAATTGGATGCGTTGAAGCTTATGGCATCGCCCAATTTTGCCGACAAGCGGCTTGGCCATTTGGGCATATCTTTGCTATTGGATAGTTCTCAAGAAACGCTAGTGCTAGCAACAAACTCCTTCAAGAGCGACTTGAGCGGGGGAATGCCTTCCCTCCCCACTTTGTCCTCAAATGGATGTTCGATGTATGTGACTGGGCTTGCCCTAACTTCATTGGCGTCTCTGCTTACAAGTGGCATGGCACAAGAGCTTTCCACAGAGCTTCTGCGGCTTCTCAACGTCCCCAATGCATACATTCTGAAAAAGGTACCGATTTTTCTCCATTTCGTTTTTTTCGATTGAAACGCGGGCTTCTTGGGATCCTTTTTCCCAATGTTGCTTGTTGAAATTCCTTTCAATTCATGTGCTTGAATTACGAGTTTGTTTTCCATTTCAGCCCCTTTAAAATCATGATGCTTATCATTTAGGCGGTTCTCGCGGTTCTTAAAATGATCCGCACCCTTTCAGATGCATCGCTGCGGCAAGATGGACTTTACGAAATGATACTCGAACGTACCAGGCCTCTTCTTTCTGACCGAAATCATGGTGTTCTGCTTTCCTCTTGTGCACTGATTTCAGAATTGGCACTTCGGTCTGTGGGGACCCCTATTTTCTTAGAGCTAAAAAAATTGGCCCCCCTTCTAGTTAGGGTTTTGAGCTCGTTGTTGTTCTCCTCCTCTTTTCCAGAATACGATGTAGGCGGTACGACGGATCCGTTTCTCCAGGTTTTTTGAAGCATTTACAATTTAGGTTTCCATACTTCGAGTATTGAGGATATTGGGCAGATCTACGCCCGATTTGACCGAATGTCTTTTGCATATTCTTTCGGGGGCGGGAAAAGTTTTCGGGGCCGCCCTAGCGGTAAGATATGAGTGCATTCAGACCGTTCTCGCTCTGAATGGAGATTCAAATCTAACAGAGCGGGCATTAGAGGCTCTTGGAGTGTCCTTTTTAAGGGCGTGTGACGATTCAAACTCCAATAACAGCAGTAACAACAACGGGAGGTATGTTGCCCTCAACTTGCTGCTAAAGTCATTTTCGATGAACAAAATCCCAAAGAGCTCACTCAATGCAATATTATCGTCCATTCAGGCATGTCTCACCGATTCGGATTTTGGAATCGTTGCAAAAGCCATCGACGTTATTTTTGGGATATTTTTAGATCCTCACGAGTACCCGGAAAATATCCCCAAACTGCTCGAAGTTTTATTGGATGTGTTGAGTAATAACAACTATTTTTTCACCGGGTCTGGAAGCCTCAACGTCCACGTTCAGAATGGCCACCTTCTTTTGCCCTCTTCCTTTCTTACTCTTCCGGAACGGCTTATCATGGCCATTGAGAAATATTCGTTGGAGATTGGGTCTAAGCTTTTTGTAGACATGCTCCTTAAGATTCTGGAGTCCATTCCACTTCGTGAAGAATGCTATGATGATGCTCCTCAAAAGGCCATATCTATCCTTTCGCGTCACTTGGCAGCAGATGCAAGCATTCAAAGATATGCCGTACATCGTGCAGCTGCGTCTCTTTCAAAGGTCAATGATGGGGCTTCGGTTGGAAAAGCTTTTTGCTGACATTTTTAGGTTATCATTGCCTTGGTTTATATCATTGGAGAGTATGGCCATCTTCTTGCTCCAGGGCCGTTTTTCCATGAGGGCCATTTGTTGGATGGCAATATTCCAACTCCCGATCAAGTGTTGTCGCTTCTTGGGGCCATGGTATCCGGCAAAGAGGTGAGCATTTTGCGTTGTTAATTTCAGCTTTCCCTGCCACTTGCTCAATATGTCTTTATTGCGATTGGGAAGCTTTCTGCTCGATCCGGTACCAATGATGGGGGGTTTGACGTGGACACTTGTAAAAACAACAGCCAAGATTTTCTAAGCCAGATTTACCGCTACTTGAATGCAAAACCCGCAACTGACGATTCAGATTTGAGGCAGCTGGCCCGGAACATTTTCGCAATTATCAAGCAATTTAGCGCCTCGCAAAGAGAAGAAATCTTTGACATGATCCCTTTGCGGCAAATCGAAATAAAAAGCGAGGCCAGAATCTCTCTTCCCGTTCTGGAGGGCGCCAGCTCCTCAATCCAAGTAAGCAGTGTAAATTTTTATCGACCCCAAGAACCTATTTGCACAGTTGAAATTTGAGCCAATGAAATCGATCACCTCATCGCTATCATCTGCCGACTTTACAGATTCCAGCAGAGGACTCTCTCCTGTCCTCCGCAACAAAGGGCTTTCGCCTGTCCTCAGCAACAAAAGTCATTCTCCTGTCGTTAGCAACAAAGGCCTTTCTCCTGTCCTTAGCGACAGAGGGCTTTCGCCTGTCCTCAGCGACAGAGGACTTTCTCCCATTCCAGCTTCTCCTGGTAGAAAGAATTCCCCATCCTTGAGAGACTCAAGTAGGAGTCGATCCATAGCATCTGGGCCTTCTAGTCCAATTTCCTCGACACATGCTCCCTCCTATATTTCTATTGACAGAGATACCGTATTTTCACATTCAAGTCAATCTCCAGACTACTCGGAATCCCCAAAATCATTTGTAAAGGAAGCTCGATTGATGGGATCCCTGGGGGAATGGCTGATTTATGAAAAAGAGGGGCTCCTTTTATATATCACTCAATTCGGCGGAACACCAAGCATGGCAGCGTGCAGGATTTCTGTTGAAACCTCAACCACATCGACGGCAATTTATGAAGCAATATCTATTGAGGTGGCCTCGCTGAAGGTAGCAACTTTGTTTTTCATGGTAGGGCATTAATCTTATCCTTGAGAAGCCCTCCTGCTCAAAGATATCCGGAAATGAACGCATGTTTCAAGTAATTAGATTTAAAGACCCTCTCAAGTCTACCGGGGCGCTTCGGTTGCGATTACGAGTAAGCTTTAACGTGGTATCGCATGAACATGATCAAAAGGCCCTCTTTGTCGAGGATATTATTGACTTTCATTCGCCCCTTTGATATTAAATTTTGTATTTTTAAATCATTTTGTTGTCCATACAACATGTGGAACCCCGACGGACCGAATAAATACAACCCAAAGTGCGTTTAAAATTTAAAACAGGTGACAATTTATTCTTCGCCAACTTTGGGAGCCAAGTAATAACGGAGGTATCCATGCTGACCAATTTTGAATTCAATCGAAACAGGCTGTTCTTCGCAAATTCCAATAATAACGCGGTCAGAAAGAGGGCATGCCTTGGAGATGATGGAAAGAAACTTTAACGAAAGCGTTGTAAATGCGTTTTTTGATACAGAAAGATTGACGGCCTCTTTATCCTTGTCAACGGTGTCTCTGGGTTTAAGAGAAATCGAGCCGGATCCGATTTCGCCTTTGGCCTCAAACTTTATATGCTCCGAGCTGACTGAAATATTTACTAGAGGGCGGGGGCATTACGTGTGTGTCAAACATACCTGATTCGCTCAGCGAATAAAGGTCTCTAACAATTCTCTGGAACTCGTTCGAATTCATCCCAATCATGGCATCGTAGGGTTGCTCTGGAATGCCCAAATGCTCGGTATCCAACGCCATCAGTTTGAGGTCATATTCACACGTACGGTCTTCGTCTATACAAATAAAAGCATGCGCAATGATTACTTGGAGATTCGAACATCAGGCTTAATGAGTCGCCAGAGTCTTTGGCCCTGAGCGTGATGGAGTCAGATGCATTGGCGCTTTTCAGGATCTTGGTAAGCGACGACAAGTTGATGCCAAGCGGGATATTGCGATCGCATCTGAAGCTTTCAAACTCGTCAGCACGCATAAGCAACGTGGCCAGGGCCACATGGGTAGAATCCATAGCTTGAAGCGTGATTCCAGAGGGATTGCAGTCAAAGTTTGCCTCGTTTACGAGGTCCTTAATGGCCTCAACAATCCTTTTGAAGACTTGAGAATCAGATAACTTTGCCTCCAACATGCACCTGGAAAATTGATAAAAATTGCAATATGCAAAGCTGCTCAATTCAAATTAGGGTTGTTATTTTGTAATTTTGTGCGTTGAATTTATTTTTTGACAAATAGCCGAAAAGCTCCACTTGCAATGGAAACGGCCTTTTTTATTGACAAACAGGGCGATCCCTCAAAAGCATCTTTGCATTCAAAAAAATGCTTGAGAATCGAGGAAATTTGCCGTGCTCAATCATCTACACCTGCTCTCATCCATGCTAGATCTGCATCTAACAAGCCTAAGAAGCAAAAAAATTCCAAGGACTTGGGGAAGCCCATCAAGGTTGCACCGATCAAACCCACAATTACAGATATTTGGAACTGTGTCACTAAACCTACATCTAGCTCCGATACTGTATTTAAAGCCCCACTGGTCCAAAGAACGATCCCTGAAGCCTTGCACCCTGGCGCTTCATATAATCCCTCAAAAAAACATCATAAAGAGGCATTGGCAATGGCTCTTATTAGAGAAGTTGGAAGAAAATCAAATAAGGAGCTTTTTTCACACGCCAAAAACACCCGGATTTGCTTGCCCATCACTCCAGCAGCAGATCTGCAAATGCCTTCATCTGGTGCTGGCCAGAGTGCAGACAATGAGCCTCTAATTGAGTGTCAAAATCCCACAGATAGCTCTTCACCATCCGTATCTAGACAAAGCCAGCGTATTTCACAATCAAAAAAGGCTGCACGCCGACGAGAACGAGAGTGCATCCAAAATGCAATCAGGAAGAAAGAACTTAAAAAGTTGAATTTCCAAATCGACAACATCGAAAAGCTATCTTCTCAAATCTTGCTCAAACCAAAATCTAAGCGAGAACCCAAAAAATTCGGAAAGGACGTTAAAAAGTTCGAAAAGCCGATTTTCCCAGTTTTCCTGAACTCGGAAATCCCCTCTTCATTGAGAGCTATCGAATGCTCAGCCACGGCACCATTTGTTGACCAGTTCAAGAAATTACAACAAAACCGTCTTGTTGAGGTTAGAGTGCCTTCGCTCAAAAAGCGAAAGTATTCGTTGCGAAAATACGAAAAAAGGTCGTATAAAAACTTTGAACAGGCCGCTGCTGTTAAATCACTGGCTGTTGGCAGCCAACCCTAACCCTTTAAATTAAAATTTTCATCGCAAACTTATTTCTGCAAGACTTTATGCTTGCTTATGGCAATTATGATTTGATTCTTGTTATTGACCAGAGGGAAGCGTGCTTACAGAGAGGCGCATTGCTTACGCTGCAAACCACTCTAGCTGCCCATAATATTGCATATTCAATGCGAACGCTTCCCATTGGAGATTTTTTGTGGCTATGTAGGGAGAAAGGTGAACATGTGGGATTAATAGTTAGCGGTAGAAAATCCAGTTGAAATTGTACTTGACTATTTGGTTGAGAGAAAGCGAGAAAACGATTTATACTCCAGTATTATTGATGGGCGATACGACGAGCAAAAGGTTTTTCAGTTGGCACCAATTTTATTTAGGCAAGAATTCACAATTCTGGGATAGGCAAAGTCATATATGTGATTGAAAATCTCTCGCTTTCGTTGAAGGCAACACCATCTGCCCGTATCCATACCCAAAAATCGCTTTATTCGATTTTGTCAAGCACAATGATCCATGACAAGTTCCTGATCCAAAGGACCTCTTCCTTTGAGGAGACCGTCTTGTTTTTGATTGCAATGACTCGGTGGATTAAAGGATCTCTGCATCAAAAGTCAATCAAAATCAAGCCAGAACCATCCGCTTTTCCAGAATTGTCAGGAAATCCCGGGGGATTGCCTGTTTCTGTGCACTCTGGAAATGTAGTCGAAGGTGTTTCGCTGTTCCAGATCTTTTCCAAAAAACATGGAAGGAGAAGCGGCCTGACCCTGGGGGATATCTATTGCTCCCAGTTGTGTTGTATCCATTCCATTTCGCCAGAAAAGGCAAAGGCAATAGCCAGGAAATATCCCACCCTTCAAAGGTACGATCGATTCTAACCAAAGTCTATGGCTTGCGTTTGATGAGGCAAGGTGTGTGTGTGAAGCAGAGGCAGAATTTCTTTTGGCCAATGTGAGCCTTCCCAATGGACGCCGACTGGGCGAAAAGAGCTCCAGTCTTGTGTATTCTTCGGTGTACAGATCTTGATTTATTATTAAACTCCACTTTTAAAGGAAGAGTCCACACCACCAATGCAAGCAGATGTTGTCCACAGTAGGCATATCACGATAGAGGGTTCAGATAGGTATATACAAAGCGTACATATTTATCTTCGTTATCATTACTTATATGGACTAGATAGTTCGGAATATAAATAAGTTATTCGCTGCCGCAGAGGCAATAGAGTTTCCCTTTGGGTTCCATACACTAGTGACCACCTTTTTGGAAAAAGAAAATGCCTTCTCTGGCGGAGAAGCAGCTTGAGCCGCTTTTTTCTGCTCAAAAATGCTTTTATCCGAAAAAATCGAAGACACCAAATTGCCCTCCAAGTCAAAAATGAAGTTCATGTTGTTGTAGGCACCGGTATGAATATATCTGGGGCAGGGTTAATGCGAGAAAACAAGGAAAACACAATAAATGGAAAATATGCAAAAGCAGCATCAAATGTACACAAACCTGGATGTGCCATCAAAGCCGCACTCAAACTTGTCCTCAAAGATGGCCTCAGTTGCATACCAGTCCAGGAGTTTGTTCTGCACCTGTTTTCGAGTTGAGACATCTGGTGGTATCGGAATGTCAACCACCGGCCTGTTTAGCTTGTGTGTGTCCCAAAGTTGAAGGGAATGGAAGTCTCTGGCAAGCACATATCTTCCACAAGGAGAAAATTTGGCGTCTGAAATGGTAGAAAAAAGGTCCCCGAAAAGAATTGGCTGATTTCGGTCCACATTCAATGGGTCATGTCGGTCCTCGTCATGTTTCCACTTGTTTAACGTCACTAAAGTAAACGTTGGGTAAAATAACCTCCAGAACTCTCACACAGAGAGGACACCCTTGTGTCGCAAATTCGGATAATACCCCGAGAGGTTGCATATAGAAATTGATATGTATATTGTGGATGAAATATGGCCGTTGTGATCACCTGCTGGATATCGTCCATCGGTTGTGGTCTCAAATCAACCATGGAAATAAATGCTTTTGGATTTTCCAACTGCCAAAGAGTGATCTTCAGGTCATCTGCGGACAGAAATGTGAGACCATCAATGTTTGGAGATATCGAGTTGATATGGAACAAGTGCGACCCTTTATAAGAGTTTTGATGAACGGGAACAAATCTGTCTGCCGCAGTACATGAAGAAGAAGAAGAGGCAGTCGACCGCGCAGAGCGTCTGTTGGAAATTTTCCAGAGCTTTATTATTGTGTCTACAATAAACCACAACACAAAAAGGTACCATTTGTCGTCAGCAGAAATAAATCCCTACTCGTTGACTGCTTGCACCATTTAATCCGATTAATCTGTTCGTCGATTTCGACACTTCTCAAATAATCAAATTCTGGCTCATGGGATTGGAACTCTGCAAAAAACGCATACCCTGTGGGGGTGTCCTTGAAAATTACAGCACGACCTCCGCGATCACCGGTAGCCAAATATGCCCCGGTCTCGTCAAACTCAAGGGCAGAAATAATGTCAGCTAAAGGGTAATTGTGATCCAAATTAAACCATTGACGATGGACTCGGATCTTTCGCCAAAGCATTGCGAAAATTTCCATGAAAGAGAAGATGCACCTTCATTATTTGTCGATGTTGAAGAGCAAGAAAATAGCCCATTGTCTTTTCCGGAATGGGCCGCTGGCTTCCTTTGCATAAAAATCATCAGGTCGTGTTGTCCTCTGTTTTATCTGCTCTATCTGGTTGCCAAGTTGTAAATTTAAATATAAAGTTGTAAAATTTAAGTCGACTGTAATTTTAATTAACCTTAATTGGTCATGCCATGGAATTGGTTCAGCAATTCCTATCGCTCCTGCAACATTGGTCCAGCAGAGGACCACTCACACGTCGCCCAAAATTATAGGATCATTAAGCTAATTTTGTGATCAAAAGCATCCAAACTAGCAATGACGACCCAAGAACGCAATATGCTGCTGCTCAAGCCCATGTTATTCAACAGCTGGTCGCCAACGCCATCTTCGTCCCCTCCGTTTTCGATAAAGCGGTTAGCGCCATTGGCCGTTCGAATGGATTCCCCTGAAGAGGCTGTAGATGCACTTTTATTTCTTTCCGGGATTACACACTCTTCAAAAGAAATACCAAGCAACAATCCCATGGTTGATTCATTGCTTTCCCAAATTATAACGAACCAAAATGCGGCGTACAAAGAAAGCAAGAAACAATGCAGGGTGCATATATGCCGGGCAAAGGGTTGCGACAAAATCTTCCCCTCCATCTCTAGACTTGCACGGCATGAAAAGATACACCTGAACAAATCCAGACGATAGCGAGAATAAAATTTTATTTACAGTGAGCCGATCAGTTGAAACGTGGAAACGTTTAATGGCGGTCCAAATTCGAAGACCATGGTGAGGTGGAGGCCAGTTGTACCACAATTTATTGGCAAGTTTCACTTTCCATAAAAAGCTTCCAAATTTGAATTTAAAAGCGTGATACCAAAGTCATCGTAATTGCACTCGCAAAATGAATCGCATCGATAAGTGAAATCAAAGGTCGATCATCAAATTTGGATTTTTATTTTACCAACATGACATCGGTGGCATCTAACGTTCCGACGACGGCTTCGCCTACTTCTTATCCAAGCTGGAAGATTCTCGAAACCTTAAGTAAGGGCAAACTTTTTATGCCTCAACTCTTCCATGAGGATCCCTCACGTTCTAGCAAATATGCGGTTTCTCTCCAGCTACCAGGGGCCAATGAGTTGTATGTGGATTACTCCAAAAACATGATCACAGATGAAATCAAGTCTGCACTTATCTCTCTATTAAAGGAAGCCAAGATTGAGTCTGCCCGTGACGCCATGTTTGCCGGTGCACCTATAAATTCCACTGAGGGCCGTTCCGTCCTTCATGTGGCGTTAAGAGCACTCTCAAGAGAGTCACCCTCCTTTTTCGCCGAGGTCAGCGGATCCAAAGTTGATCTTGGACCAATGATCTCTGCAGAGCTAAAAAAAATGAAGGCCATTTCTGATGCTGTTAATGCAGGTACATGGTTGGGACATACTGGACGGCCAATCACCTCCATTGTTAATATCGGAATTGGAGGATCTGATCTTGGGCCAAAAATGGTAAGCGGCGCTTTGGCTCACTTGATCAACCCAAAACTCAGTATCTACTATGTCTCAAATGTTGATGGAGCTGACATGGAAGCAGCGTTAGCAAAGTGCGATCCGGAAACCACGCTTTTCATTATTGTTTCAAAGACTTTTACCACGGCCGAAACGATGCTAAATGCGCAGACCGCTCGCTCCTGGTTCCTTTCATCGTGCAACGGAAACCAAAGTGCAATTGGACACCATTTTGTGGCAGTATCGACAAACGAACCAGCTGTAAAAGCATTCGGCATCCAAGTGGACGACTTGCACATCTTTAAATTTTGGGATTGGGTTGGTGGCCGTTACTCTCTTTGGTCCGCAGTTGGCTTGTCAATTTCAATTGCCATAGGCTATCAAAATTTTGAGCGTCTATTGGCCGGTGCCCGAGCTATGGACAAGCACTTTTTAGAGGCTCCATTGGAAGAAAACATTCCAATCCTTATGGCGGCTCTTGGAATCTGGTACAACAACTTTATGAATCTGAATTCGCTTGCCATTTTGCCTTATGAGCAAAACTTGGGCCTGTTCCCAAAATACCTCCAGCAAGCAGACATGGAGTCCAATGGAAAAAGCGCTTGCAAAATGGTGTCCACAGGAGAAGATGTGTATGTAAATTGGAAGACCGGGCCTGTCGTGTGGGGTGAGCCCGGAACCAATGGCCAGCATGCCTTTTATCAACTCTTGCATCAGGGCACAAATATTATCTCTTGTGATCTGATTGGTGGAATCTTTGCGCCTCGTCATCCTTCTGTTCATTTGGAATCCCATGACCGCCACCGCCAGGTTTTGGTTGCTAACATGCTGGCCCAAGCCGAGGCGATGATGATGGGAAACTGCTATGATGCTGAGAATAACTTTTCACCCGTGTCTTTGCCGTCTTCGCAGAATCCTCATAAGGCTTTCAAGGGAAACCGTCCAACCACCGTCTTCCTTTATGACGAACTAACCCCCGAGGTGCTTGGCTGTCTGATTGCAGCCTATGAGCACAAGATTTTTGTCCAGGGCCATGTATGGAATATCAATTCTTATGATCAAATGGGTGTTGAATTAGGAAAGACCCTTGCCACCGCCATTGATGCCGAATTAGTAAAAGGCACGGTCGGCCCACATGCTGATTCCTCCACTTGCGCTTTGATGGCTCATGTTTTAAAGAGAAGAGCTCAAAGTAACTGAAACCGCTTATTAAGGAATAAAAATTTCAGGGCTAAATTTGGAACACAGTTCTCCTTTGATGCCAACTTCAGAAGCCTTAAAGCGTCATATTGGCTTTGAACGAACTTGCCAGGGAATTAATGCCAGCAATAGTAAAATTTGATATGATGGACAGTGTGGCGTTATTAAGCAGCAAATATCTTATTTGAACATGCGTATAATCAGGTGGGAAAGAACATGAAGGGCCCGTCGCCAAAGATCTAGTTGACACCAATGTAACAGGTGAAGAGTTTGAGCAGAGGTTGGCAACCCATTCTTGGGCCATTTCAATTTTTGAACATAGCGAGAGCGAGGGTTTGATTCCTTTTTGGGAGATGCTGCAATGGCATGATGCAGAAGGCAGTAGGACACAAGTGGAACAAACTTGAGCAAGGAAGGTAAATAAACCAAAAAGTGATAGGGATCCAAATGGTGGGTATGCACTTTGAGAATGGAAAAGGATTTTACGAGAAAATTTGAAATCTCATCAAAACAAAGCAAAACCCATCTTTTCGTGACTAAATTTGGCTTGCAAGCTTTGGTGCATAAATTATGCAGCTCAGATGGCAAAGTAAAATATGCGTACAAAGCGATAAACACAAAAGAAAGGGAGAAGATTTCCGGCTTTCGACCTTGCAATACAAAGGAGTCGGTGTATATCAGATCCAAAAGAGACTTTATCATCGGCAATAGCAGTTGGATTGATGGCAAAGTTGAGCAAAAATGGATTTCGAAACCGGTTATGATTTGATTGAGATACACTTCGAAAAGATTTGCAGAGGGGCACACAGATCTGGAAGTGTCGAGGCGAGTGTTAAATAGCGGCTTAAATTTCTGGGCACACTTTACAAAAGCGGAAACGGGAA